CAGGAGCTGGGTCCCGATCCACACTGTCTTGGTTGGGTCGGTGGGGTCGATTCCCACCGCCTTGGTTTCGTCGAGTAGGCGGAAGGCCATCGAGGAGGTTGGTTTGTTGTAGTCTGGGACTGCTGGGGTCGATGACTCCCCGAGCCGTGGAAGCTCGGATGAGTTGACAACCGCGGCGGCAAGCTCGAAATGCTCACGGTCGTATGTGAAGGCGTGCGAGAAGGCGCTGCTCATGGTGATAACGCCATTTGGTCCCGGCATCTTCAGCTTGAGGTTGGTGTAGTTGGGGATTGCCATGAATTTGGCGTAGCACGGCTGCCCCATGATGGCGTGGTAGGACCCTGGAAAGTCAACCACTTCAAAGGTGAGGACCTCCGAGCGGAAGTTGGCTCGGTTGCCAAACATGACGGGCAGGTCGATCTGCCTGAGCAGGTATGCCTACGCTCCCGGATCACCCCATGGAAGGGAGACCTCGCCAGGCGGAGTTCTGACCAGGGTATGCGCATGGCGTCGAGGGTGTCGACGTAGAGGATGTTGAGGCCACTGCCTCCGTCCATTAGCACCTTGGTGAGGCGCTTCTTGCGGACGATGGGGTCGATGACGAGCGGGTAACGTCCTGGTCTCACGACGTGGGAGGGATGGTCCCTCTAATCGAAGGTGATCGGAGATTCCGACCAGCTGAGGAAGGAGGGGACGGCCATCTCGGCGGCACAGGCCTCCCTGTAGCGCACCTTGTGCTGGCGTTTGGTCCAGAAGGCGTTGGATCCACCGAAGATCATGATGCATTCCTCAGGGTTGGGGAAACCATCTCCATCCTTGCCCGCCGCGCCTCCTTTCTTGACTATCGCCTCTTTGTCGTCTCCCTCTTTTGGCCCGCTGGCCTGTTGCAGGAAACGTTTGAGGAGCTCGCAGTCCTTGTAGAGGTGTTTGACGGGGTAGGCATGGTTGGTGCATGGGTTGTCCATGAGCTTGTTGCTGGGGCTGCCTACCCATGTGATCAGCCGCGGCGACCAATGCGGTGTTGTCCGATCGGCGCCAATCTTTTTTGTTCTTCTTGCCCCTCTGTGTGGAGGCGCCCTCATCTTGGTCCGTGCGCTTGGCCTTGCCTTTGTCCCAGCCTCTGTTGATGACCGCTCCAATTGCCTCCTCGCCAGAGGCGTGGTTAGTGGTGATGTCGAGCAGGTCACGGGTGGTATGGGGCTTCAAGCAGCCAAACTTGTGGATCAGGGGCTCGCAGGTCGTCCCGGAGAGAAATGCGCTGATGATGTCTGCGTCGACGACATCGGGGAGGGAGTTGCATCGTTGGGAGAACCTATGGATGTAATCCCGCAGGGGTTCGCTGGGCTCCTGCTGGCAACTCTTGAGGTCCCAGGAGTTTCCAGGGCGAACATACGTCCCCTGGAAATTTCCGACGAAGACCCTCTTGAGGTCCACCTAGTCGTGGATGCTGTCGTGCAGGACGAATTTGAGCCATGCCCGAACATGTTCCCCCACGCAGATGGGGAGATACTGGATGATGAAATAGTCATCATCCACCCCTCCGGCTCGGTGGGCGAGCCAGAAATCTTTGAGCCAAATACCAGGGTTTGTCTCCCCGGTGTACTTGATGATGTTGGTGGGCGGTCGGAAGCGTTGTGGGAACAATGCTCTCTGGATACGCTAGTCAAAGGCCCGTGGTCCTAGGCCCTCAAGGCTGGGACTCCGGTTGTCTGGCCGTTGACCATGCCTGGGGCGCGTTTCTCCGCTCCCCTCGATGGTTTGGCCGGGACCCACGTCGCCTACCCTCATCGCCGCCCGATGGTCATCATCATCATGCCGAGCCTGATGCCGGTTGCTGATGACGCTATGAGCGTCTTGGTGCGGACCGGGCCATCCGCGTACCGGCGGTCGGTGTAGAGCAGGCGCCAGGTCGGACCGTGGTGCGGCCGCTGCCCCCCGAGCCGCACCTAGCGGCTGTAGCGGCGAGCGAACGGAGCGATCCGTCTGGTGCGTCTCCACTCCTCTGGTGGGGATAGAGGGCGTGTGTCGGAGTCATGATGCGGAGCTTTCTGCTTGTTGAACGGCGACGGCTTCTACCAGCACCCAGAGGTTCCGGTAGACCGCCTGCTCCTGGGGGTCGACGGGCTTGGGGACATCGCGCAGAAGCATTGTCGTAGCAGCGATGTTCTGGCTAGCCCGAGCAAACTATGGGAGATCGTTCCCCTCATTCATGATGTCATGTTGGACTTGGCGGGCGTGACCCCGGGCGCCGCCCGCCAGGTCGCGCGCATGGGGCGCAACGTGCTATACCGAGCGCGCCGGCTGGTTCTACCGCCATTGTCGTAGTTGCTCGGCGTGCACTTGCACAAATGCGAGGCCCCCTGCACGCGGGTCTGGAGGGGTGTGAGTCTGCACAGACTCCGCAACGATCGGCGGCTGTCCCGGAGCATCCGCCATAGCGTACTCCCGGGATGGATGGTGGCTAGGTGCTACGTCGTCGATGTTGGAGCCGTCGCTGTCACCCTCGTCATCCGGGAGTTCGTGGAAAGTGGTGGGAGCATAGCTCGCCATTCCCACGAATTCGGGTGTGAGAGGGGATGGCGGCAGCGTCCTCCGGAGCCCCTGAGCATGCGCGTCCACGGGGGACGCGAAGCCGTAGGGGAACCAGTCGTACGGTGTTCGTGGTGCGGTCAATATGGTCCCTCCAGATAATCGGCGGGAGATAGTAAATAGAGAGTAAATAACAGTATGCATATTACTTACAGCGGGGTTTGAGCAGAGAGTTCGCTCGAAATGAAGCGCAGATGCCTTGTTGTGCGTCCCGGAGCCGATGGAGGGCGCCCCTCCGATGGGCGCCAGAACGAGAGCCTCCTCGCGGAGGTGTAGTACACCGAGCCAGTCGACGACGAAGTCTAAGCTTCCGAAGAGGAAGGCCTGGGATGGCTCAGAGACGGGTGGAACCCACATCCCAACAGGTAGGAGTGCAGGAAACTCTAGTGAGCCGAAGCGAATCGTATCGCCTGAGCCTGCCATGGCGATGGTGGCGGAAAAGTAGGCCATCCGATGACCAAAAAGTGTTGAATGTACAGCGTCTTCCCCACGGACAGCGCCAACTATCGGTGCAGAAAGTGACCAACAAGTAAATATTTGTAGTTTTGCCGTACGTTGTGATCGGAGGTGGCCTAGCACTCAATGACACAGGGTTTATACTGGTTCAGGCAGCGTGCCCTACGTCCAGTTTGAATCGGTCGGTGACTTTATTCCTGAGCCCAGGTGCTCGAAGTTTGTAGTGGGGTTACAAACGAGAAGAAGAAAGATGGGAGGTATAAGAGGTCCGGTCAGACTCCTACCGGAAGGGCCGAGAGTGACGGGAGCCCCGCTATGAGCAAAGTGTTCGAGCGTGTGCTCGTGGTTTGAACCTGGTGGTTCTGCTGTTGTGTGCTAGTGAACTTGATCAATCTAATGAATCTGGAATGACTTGGATGAACTTGAATGAATCTCCCTGTTGGGAGAGAGCACATCCCCTTTTATAGATAAAGGGATGGCCTTACAAGTGAGAGGAAGAGAGTACGTATGCTTCTAATCATTGTTGCCCGCGCCGGCGGGTATAGGATGATGGTAGGCGCCCACAATACTATTGAATGCCAGATGCACGTGGAGGCCTGCAAGGGGCTTTTACCATGTTCGTCCGGTACGGTAGAAGCCGGCGCCCACGACACTGTCGATGCCCAGAGGCATGTGGGGGGGACCTCACCGTATGGGAGTTAATGGCGCCCACAATACTGCAAGGGAAAATGTCAGCGCCTACAACACTGTTTGGGCTCTGTCGTGCCAGGGAGGTTGCAGAGTACTATTTCTGCAGGTGCACAGGGTACGGACCCTGGTATTGTGGTTTGACTTGTGCGCCCTGCCTTGCTTTCTCAATTCGTTCTCTGGTCCTTACCGAGCGGGCGTCCCCGATCGGTTGGTTCCAGTCGGCTCTGATTGCACCAGTCGGAGAAGAGCAGTGAGCAGGGGTTTGGCGCACCCCCGGTCGGAGACGCGGGTCGGAGTCGAAAGTAGTGCTTTGGCCAGGTCTTCCGATCGGAGAGGCCGTCTGGAGGCGGGCCAGAGACCGATGCGGACGCTCCGGTCAGATAGGTGGGCCAGAGTCGAAAGTGGGCGCCGTTCCTTCTCAGCCAGGCCTTCCGGTCGGTGATTGGATCGCCCTTCTGGCCTGTCGTTCAGGTACTTGGGCCGGCCCATGAGTTGCGCGTTTGTTTGCTTGAGCCGAGCCTTTGTTGGGAAGTCGGTAAGCGAGGGACCCCGGCTTTATGAACCCGACAACTCCATTCAATTTTTTTGATGTAATATAAATAATCACTACATTTTATTCAGCCATATGCACACACACAAAAAAAAACGGTACATTTACAAGAACTTTATCCTATTGATGTATTATTCACTTAACCTAACCAAAAGAATGCCTCAAGTACACCACGACCTCTAGTGCAATTCAGGTTGAAAATCCTGCCAGCCCATGAAACCTCTTTTATTACTATGTACATGCTCAACGACGTTCTTTCATCGCGGAGCGCCGGGGTTGGTGTCCGTACGGCCTGCCCTGCAAAATGTAACATGGAAAAAGCCTAGGTAAAAATAATACTCTGCTTGACTTACTTTAAGCTACCCTTAACAGTAATATTCTGTTAAAAGTAATATTTACCATCTTTTATAGTAATTTTTACCATTATTCTTTTCCCTAGTCGGACCATTTTTTTGTACAAGATATGTGTGCTGACATATTACTTATTCATGTGCTTTTGATTGCTTTTACAATCTTGTGTCATTGTGTGTTTAGTGACTTTCGATCAGCACAAAAGTCACTAAACATAGTGTTTAGTGACTTTCGATCAGCACAAAAGTAATTAAAGAATTTGATCATATAAAGTATTGGTCATCTTTTGTTTCCGATAAAATCGGTAATATATAATAGCAGATCTAAATCAGACAACAAGTTCTTTTAAATGCTGAGGCTCACCTTAAAATGTGTCAACAATCTGAGCATGAGTATCCTCCTCAGGCTTCACTGTTAATTCAGGTTCCTTCCGAGTTAGTTTCAGTGGAACATCAAGCTCTGGGGGCTCCTGCACATGCAAAGTTATTTTCTTTATTAGTGATGTACCAAACAATTTTTTTTCCAAGATACTCTTCAAAGGCTCAATTTCCAGATCACCATGCAACGGATGAGTGGCCAGTATATATCTTTAAAAAAAGGATGTTGCTTGATATCGTTTGCACCGGCACTTGAACTAAGTCGAGAAGCGGGATCTCTCTGAAGCAATCCATGGATTAATTGCTTAGCCGCAAGACTAACCTGGAGTAAATATTTGTTAATAGATGAACAGAATAAACAACATTGTAGAATGTAAACTAGTGCCTAATAGTTATACTAAACAAGGGACTATTAGATAGTTTTAAAATTGTTTCTATACCATCAAATGTTAACTGCACAGACACAGGCAAATTTGACCAGATTTACATGTAATTGTAGGTAACAAAAATAAGGATGAAATTTCTTACCGGAATGCTACTTGGAAATGTAAGATCTTTGTGCAGGATATTATGAAATGTCCTTTTCCTGTTCTTTCCTCGAAAAGGTGTACGTCCATACAACATTTCATACAAGAGAATTCCTATATCATGGGGAAGAAGGATGTGACAACCTCAGGACAGTATCAAACTGGTATGCTATATAAGATCTCTTGAACAAGGAATTCCCATTTGGGAATACTTGATATAGATCTCTTTACTTCCACATTCGTATTGTGGTACTATATAGATTACAAGCATCAAGCTAAACTGAAGTTAGCATATATATTTATATATATTATGTGCCCTAAAGTTGTATTATGGTGCCACACAGGCTGTCATCCTAGGTTGTTTCATCTGAGATTGATTTTAACTATATAACACAACTATTTCGATACTAGTTCATTTCTACCATTTCTTGTATATAATCTTTTGGATTGGTGATTAGAACCACATCTTAGGGATTTTTATATAAGTGCACATTTGGCGCCCAGGGGTTTGGCACCCTCGTTAGCTAAAATACCATGTTGCAATATTTTAAAAATCATAAAAAATCATGTATGTAGTACACATAAAGCTAAGCATATCCACAACAATTCAGTTTGAAATTCATCCTAGATGTCAAGAAACAAAATAGACAAGCAGTCAACCTGGCATTGTTCATCATGTGCTAAAAGTGATACTTCTGGTTTTTTAATCTCATTAAAAGATGAATTTCAAATTGAATTGTTGCGGCTATACTTAATTTAGGTGCACTACATAAATGATTTTTGTGATTATTTTTTGAAATATTGCAACATGATATTTTAGATAAAGAGGGCGTTAACATCCTTGAGCGCCATATAATTTTTCTTTTCTATATTGGCAATTAAAGTGAACAGAACCGAGTAATTGGAGGCCAAAGTCTGTTACTTCCCTCATATTATTCTGAAATTCTTGTTTAAAAACACAACAAAGAACAGTGAAGCACTAAACAATCAAGTTCACCAGACTGGTAAGCTTGCCGGTTCTCCCGGTGGAAGTCCAAACATTTCATAGGTTATCATGATTATTTAGATACTGAGTTGATCCTTCAACGTTTCACCTGCCTACATCGTTTAGGTGATAGTTCTTATTCCTACTCAGAGGCAACAAAAAAATTGTTTTTAATCCATGAGTAAACTTATGGAATGTATTCACTAGCTATAGCTTAAATGATAACAAAACTCTATAATCCACATATTATTGCTTACCAAGAGCCCACCAATCAATGGCACTTGTATGTGGTGCACCTGTGAGGACCTCCTAAAATATCAAAAGATTGCATGGCAATTAATTTAGAAATCAAGAAGTGAAGAAATCAAAACTAGGGTTTAGTTAAATGCATTAAAAGTTTAAATAAGATTCAGAAAACCATAGGTTCACAACCAATGTCAAAAAGTTATTAATTTAGAGATCAAGAAGTGAAGAAATAAGAATTAATGGTTTAGTCAATGCACTAAAAGTTTAAATAAGATTCAGAAAACCATTGGTTCACGATCAATGCCAAAAATTTGTATTTGGCTTACCGCAATTGACACCAAATACTCTTATCTTAAAGTTTCATAAAACCCATGGTAATGTGGCACTGGTACCATCCATGCTGGTGCTTTTTGGGGACTACATAGGATTACCAGCTTGCCCTATAACTATATATAAGACATAATCATTGGGGTCATGTGCCCCATGCGAAAGAACCCATAGTTTTGCAACACTTAAATTACAAAACTAGGTTTTTTATGAATAAGACAAAATCTCTATCGAACTGTATGGGATATGTCCTTACATGTAATTGCTCTCTTGTAGAGGGGTCTCTCTGCATATTTTACACTCTGTTTTATATACCAGCCCTTTTGGGAAAGGATGTGAGAGCTAATTTCGAGATTCACAACATGGCATCAGGGTTATACACTCATTGTAGCCACCGGCAGGTCACTCACTAGCCGTCAACAAGCACCACCTCTTCTGTTCTTCCCCTTATGTGATGTTGTTAACCCTATCACCTAAGGCGCTCAGGAACCCCCACATGGGGCAACCACCTCTCAGTCTCAGTCGCTGCCATGGTGCCTCCCTTGGCATCAACTGTGTACCTCGACGCAACCATTGCTGGTGCCGTCCTCTGCCCCGATTCGGCTCAAATCAGGGGAAGAAGAGAAAAAATTCTATAAAACTGATATGTTCTCTTATATGTAGAATATTTGATTATGAAACGTTTTATGGAGGTTGGGAGTATAACAATTATGGCAATCATTGCAAAATGATAAAAATATTTTGAGTGGAAGTAACCATATAATCATGTATGGTATCTTAAAATATTTGCAACGTGCTAAGCATAATCTATTTGGTACAAATTTTTAAAAAGTGGTATGAAATTACCAAACTGCACTTCAAAACTCTCAGCAACTTTCTTTTACATGAAACTTTGGGGAGTTCCCACAACATACAACTCTCATTGTGAATGACAAAAGTATGTGTGTGCAGAGATATTACTATTTACCTTGACAAGCTAAATTATCAAAACTTTAAGTATGGTGGGAGTAATAACTTAGGATGTGATGGTGATCACATTCAAATTATTTGGAAATCAGTCATCTCACTGATGAAATACGAAAAAACCATGCTAAAAAAAGTAAAGATAGAGCACTGTATCATACTGGAGCTATGTACTCTTCAGTTCCAACAAAAGAATTTGATGGAGTGGCAGGATCTGAAACAAAACTTGGGGGCAGATACTCCTTAGATCTTCTTGGTCTTGATGTAGAATGCTTTATCACCTGAAGTATATCATTAGCAAAGGTTATTGGCTTATAGCTTTGTATTTAATTAAGTGCACAACAAGCTCTCATGGAAAACAAACATACATGATTGCGGCACCAATAAGCAGTCTAAATCTATGTCATTGACACATGAAAAACTATTTGTTCTCCACTGCAAATATCATGCAAGTGGAAAATAGTAAACTCACCACTAAGGTGTGAAGTATAGCTGCACATTCTGTTAGTACCATATGGTGAAATAACACAGTAGACTGATGAGGAATAAATGCACAAACAAAATACTAATATTGATTTAGTTTTTAAAGCTTGCTCTCAACTTACATGAGGTTTTGAAGAAGTCAAAAACGAGAGGTCAAAATCAGTCAGAACTATGTGGCCATCCTCTTGGAGCAAAATATTTTCTGGTTTTAGGTCACGGTATATTATTCCTGCAATAGAAACACTATATAATCACAAACCATTGATGTCATCACAGGAATTTAAACACATCCCTTCTAAAGAATAGGAACAGATGGCACAAATGATCTTACTTACACGGTATTAATTTTTACTCGACCGATTATAATTTATTTGTTATATATTTGTTTAGTAATTAAACACTGTACAGCGTGGCTAGCTATTATTAACCCAACAAGCCGTGTTTAGAGAAATCATCAAGAATAGTGAAATTTCCTAGTCTCAGTAACATTTGCATACTGCACTTGAGGAAGAGACTTATCTAGAAACTACGCGAAATAATAAAAATAAGACCAATACCAAGGAAATGGAGATACTCAAGACCAATCACAACCTCCGCAGCATAAAACCTGCAGAAAAATTGATCAAAATAATGTAACAAACAAAAAAATATAGGCAATATATCATAATAAAATATTTAGTAATACAATAGTTTAAGTGACTATCACATCTCTATAATCCAAATTATGGAAAAGAAAAAACTAAATTGTCCTTTTGCTCCAGTTTTGGGGTACTATGCAGGCTCCCGAATGGGCCTTCCTAGGTAGTGATAGTATTAGCATAGTTCATAAGAGTTCTTCAGATTTGAAGTGTCAGAAAAATTATTTGCTTGATCAACTATTTGTTTGGAGGAAAAATAATCGAATAAACATATCATAGCATTTGAATTTGCCAAAAAGTATAATCCTAATGAAGATACGAGATTTCTTTTCATTAATGCCATTATTTTGCAAATTTTCATATCAATTAGGAAATGGTTCATATGTTGTTAACATCAAAGCTTATAAACTCAAGCTACAAAGATAAATTATAAACCATTAGGAATGCCCTATATTAACTTCACAGCATAAGCTAATATTTGTATCTGAACAAGGAAAGAACACATCCATTTTGGAAGGCATTTTCAAAAGCACAACAAAATTTTACATCAGAATAGGCACGTTTAAATAAACAAATAATGCATCAAGGAGTAGTCTATATCAAAAAAATTGCATTTTGTAACAGCTACCTTGCAGATTCTTCTCTAAAAAGTTTCATGGGTTGCATATTGAGTAGTGCAAATAATTCACCTCCAGGACAAAAGTCTGTTATGAGACAAACATGTGTTGGTGTCTGAAAAAACAATGATTAGTAATGCATATATGTTAAATTCAAAAGTTAAAATGCAAAATAAATTATCAAAATACAAAACATGATGGTCAATAATCAATTATGGAGTTCAGTAGATAACCATATAGAAACCATATGCAGATGAAGTTATGTGTACCATTTTCTTTATTTACCAATCCTAAATGACTCTAAGACAAGGCACAACAGCATAGCACATAAGACTGACCTGGAATGAAGTATATAATGTTGGGAGAAAAGGATGATCCAATAGTGAGTATATTTCTCTTTCGATACAAACTCGGTGAACCTGCACATTTCAGAAACTAAATGCACCTCAAAAATCAATTTAGAATGAGTGAACTTGAGATGTATATTTGGAAATGTTATCTTGTAAGAATCTGTTTCTAGCATATGTCTGAATAAATTGATAAATACTAAACATCCTAAAATTAATCAATGTTTTCACTCCTGGAAGATTTGTGATACCATGTTGCCCTTTCATTCTTCATTTTCGAAATTTAAGCCACTGACACTCCCTTCTAGGAGTGGCACGAATGCACACCCACACAACCATACGGATACAAAACTAATAATTCAAGATTCAACTACTAATTTTACCACTTATCCAAAAAAAAAAACTCCAACTGCTTGTACCTATACATACCAGTGTGACCAGGAGTTTGATAGCATGAAGTGTCTATCAAAAGATACAACACTGCATGTTATTAACATTTATTTCTAGAATTTACCTTGTTGCGGTTCAACATCACTGATTTGTCCATTGCCTTCATTGCAAATAATTCACCACTGCCTTGCAACTCCACCAAATGTACACTAGGGAGAAAAACATAGACATAGTATCATACCCTTTATTAAGCAAAGACATGGTAGTAATAAAGAAATCCAAGGACAGGGCAGATCTAGTATGGACGCCTGTGTATTCCAAGGAATACCCAACAATTTTGCCGAAACATTATGTATATACCCAGTACACATATGTGTATATGTTAGTTGCACTTTATTTTCGACATGTTCTTGTCATTCACTTATTAAAAAACATAGCATACTGTCCGCCTCCCACCAAACTCCACCAAGGTTTCCTCAAGTCCATCCGATCTGCCATTCGCCAATCGATCAACTAAGATCTTCCTCAACAACCCCTCAATTGCACATGGGAGCATCAGCCTCACGTGCATCTGTCGCCCTTGCCCACGCCTAATCCTCATGTCTCTCTCAAACCCCAATTACCATAGGAACCCAACACTAAATACCAGCCACACTAACATGCATACGAATAGAGGCATGATGGCTAAACTGCTAAAATGTGCCCACCCTAAACAGCGCCATCTGCGTCTACCAACTGCACGCCTCCACGTGGACCACACTACCCACACCTATTGTCCCTCCTCACCTTCAGCCAGTTGCAACCAGTCACAACTAGGTTGTAACCAGGCCATGTCACAAAGTCACAAGTCATGACCAACTAAGCCAGTTGCAACCAATCACAACTGAGTTCTAACCAATTGAGGTGGTTATGACTAGCTGAGCAAGTTGCTACAAGATCCAACTAGGCTTGACTCAGTTAGACCCAGTCACGAGTCATGATCAATTAAGCCTACAACCATTGGCAACCGAGTTACAACCAGACGGAATGGTGGGAGTCGTGACCAACTATAGTTGCAACCATACAACTGAGTTGCATCCAAGCCCAGTCACAAGTAGTGAATAACTGAGCCAGTTGAAATCATCCGCAATTGTGAACCTGGTTGGATGATGACGGGGCTCATGACCAATTGATCTAGTTGCAACCAGTCGCAACCAGCTCAGTCACGAGTTGTGACCAACTAGGACGGTTGCATCTAGATGGGATGGTGAAAGTTGGGCTTAATTGTTTAGTTGGTTGGTGGACCATGTTAGTTGGTTTTTGATTGGGTTGGGTTGGCTTGAGCACGTACATTTTGCATATATATACTATTCAATGCCCAGTGCATTGAATTATTATTCAACGCGCCAACCAACTAACCAAATTACCTGCAACCATAAAAAGACCTTGCACAACTATAAAATCCTGAGTACCACATCTTCTAGACAAGTCCGACATCCACAATCATAACACTTGTGTTCTATAGCCATAAAAATCTTACCTTCATTTGATTACCATGTATCAATAACCCTAAACCCTAAGTCCCGCTCATTCCTCTCAATATTTTCCTCACATCTCCTCAGGAATAAATATCCAAGGGGCATGGAAGGGCTCATCAAATACACTTGCAGTATCATATACGGGCGTGGATTGACATCTACCATTTTTTGTTTGGGTTGATTTAATGAAATATTTATTTTCTTGCTAGCAAACATTCAAAAGTAGTAGCACATACCTAAAATGGTTAGTTATGTATGTTTCAATTTCAAAAGGTTAGGTTGATCTCCTTACCTGCCAGTGTCACCACAACCCAAAGGTTTTATAGGCTTGAAGTGCTTCAAGCCAATCTTCTCCCCAGATTTTGTAATCTGAAGTACAAATACAAAAAAGTCATTATACTACTATGGAACCAAAATAATAAAAAAATCCATTTGATATTCAAGCATACTTAAAGTATGACCGCATAATGGATTATATAAATAAATCCGATAAAAATCAAAATGAAAATAAAAGACCTGAGCATTTTGCTCATAGAATTTTTTGAGTGTTATCTTAATATATAAGTTATTGCAAGTTCATAAATTGGTATGAAATAACACTATATGCAAAAGCAAAGATCATTGCACGACATACTCCATTCCAAATTATAAGACATTTTGGTTTTTCTAGATACAAGTTTTTTATATGCAATTAGATATACACTATGTCTAGATACATAGTGAAAGTAATGTATCTCAAAAAGCCAAAATGTCTTATAATTTGGAACAGAGGGAGTAGTAAACATACTATTCAGGCTTAACAAAGGTAGAAATTAGAATTTGAGAAAGAATGACCGAACTATTTATAAACATATATGGCAAATGCATTGTCATCCTGCTTTTGCCTTTCTTCAATGCAATAAATAGTAAATTGCTTTGCTTCCAACTCTTTGTCTATATATGCTGTAGTAATAAGCTTAAATAACTACTTTTTGTGTAGTGCTGCTTACATCATAATCTTGTAATCTTGTATGGAACATTCATATAGCATACCTTTTCTATCGCAATCCAAGAAGAGTTGTAACGTTTATGAGGCTTTGGGGAAACATATTTTGAGTAAATGTCCCATAGGTCCTCTGGTCTCTGCAAATACACATATTAGCTACAACACAACATATGACAAAGAATTGGCTAAACAAACTACTCTTAAATATTCATTTTAATTCAAAGTATCGACATTACAGCTATGGTTTTCTGTTTCGTAATGCAAAGCTCATAATATGCGGTAAACCATGAGAATAGTTTAATTCAATGTTCATTACTTTAATCCTTTTATTCTGAGGTTGCCCCCATATCATAGTAGGTGTTGTCTATTTGTTATAAAAACTTGCATTTCCATATAGAGCATTAAATTGACCTCCACAATAGAAATCTACCGAATATTTATAATAACATTTATAGAAGTTTAAGAATAGTTAGTGATCTCTTGTTAGCATATCCTTTTTCCCTGAACATGCAAGAGGGATGTGCATATTTGAATTAAGAAGAATAATTAACAAATGCTTTTGAAAAATAGTGAAACAAAAATTAGATGTACCTTACCAGGTTGGGATCAGGAAGCTCTCTGACTGCTTCATCCACATTCTCTGCCGTAGCTTTGACCTATTTAAATTTTATCATATAAATAGTTAGTGTACTTCAAATTTGAAAGCAACAATACATTCACATAATGTTATAGTCCTATATATCAAGTACTCACTCCATTCCAAATTGTTAGTCATTTTAGTTTTGTCCTAAGTTAAACTTGTCTAACTTTGACCAAGTTTATAAAGAATATATATTAACATCTACAATATAAAATAATTACATTATCAAAATATATCTCATGGTCTATTTAATGAATCTACTTTTATGTTGAAGATGTATGTAGATTTTTCTATAAATTTTGTCAAAGCTAGAGAATTTTGACTTAGAACAAACCTAAAACCACTAACAATTCAGAATGGAGGGAGTAGCTATACATATTTTGTCATGACATACCCATGTTACTTGTTAATTTCCAAGTCCACAGGTTTCTTTTATAAGTATTACTCACACAAAAGAAGGTTGAAAGCTAATTCATCACTGTGGACCATGACAACAAGAATAGAAACCAAATAACCGAGTCCTCATTTTATTTTACTTTTTAAAGTTGACTTATTGTGTACCAGTTATAGATCTAGTTTAAACCATCAAAATGAAAATTAGTAAGAATAAATTGAGCTACCAATTTAGCACTTTGTAGTTCAGCGTTCTCAGAGAGACGATTCCTAAGGGGTTCAACATGGTCGCTTCCATCCAATTGAACACCAATGAAGTACTGAAGCTCTCCCTACATACCCAAATAATAGAATGAGTATGCACAGCACCACATGAACAAGTGCAAAGAAAGTTGAGAAGAGCTACAGGCATTGAGTACCTTCTGGTCTCGCATTGGCTGCAGGTGGAACAAGTTCCAGAACTTCTTCCCTAGTCAGTGAACAACAACCGTAGAAAAATATCAGTATAGCACCCACATCAATCATACATACATTTACTAAACTCTATGGTAGTAAAATGTCAATTGCCCATGCTTTCTAGTTTTTTCAGTTAGGAAATGCAAAATTTACCACTCTTGGTGTAGTTGATTAGCTGGACAGTGATTTCGGTCTGTTCCCGGATAGCCTCCCGGATCTTATCGACCGTGGACATGTCGGTCTCTGGCCCTTGAAGAAATCTGCAAACACCAATAGGATTAGACTAGGTCACCTACATACCACAACCCATTCAAAGCAAAAACAGGAGAACCAATTATGCATTTAAAGAAAAGAAAAATCACTAAGAGCTATAGCAGGAGGACTGTACACGAGGCCCTCTCAAATAATTTGTGGGTCTCTGATATCCAAGGTGCTCTAATTGTGGGAGTTATCTCAGAATTTCTATCTCTATGACATTTGGTCAAAGATGTGATCCTGCAGCCTGGGGTCGCAGATTGTCATATCTGGATATATTCAAATGGTCAATGTTCAGCAAGCTTGGCTTACAAAAATCTCTTTGATGGACTGAGTTCGTTTCAGCCTTATACTAGAATTTGGACAATATTTCACTCTTGAGTTACCGTATTTTCATATGGACAAAAATGCCCCTCTACTCCTTTCAAGCTCCTCTCACAGAGGTGCAGGTCCCACCTAACACTGCCATGGGCCCACTCGTCCGACTTATCCTCACCACTAGGATGAAAACGGATTGGATACAAACTGATACTATTGATATCATATTTGTTTTCATATTTTTTCCTCGTATATGGATAGCTATCGGATACAACTACGGATACAGATTGTCTCGGATATGAATACGAATAAATATATATCAAATACGGGTTGAGTGTGGGTTAGGAATATTTCCCGAATATTGAGTAAAAGCAACATCTATATATACAACATGTGCTGCAGTCATTTGACCACTATATGAGTCCTAATTACAACTAGATTATACGTGTAGAAGCAACTTATCAATAGTTCATATACAAGTCGCATTGTCATGTTTTTTGAAAGTTGAGTTACATTGTCATAGCTTACATAGCTTATGCATACCTAAGCTGGTATCTTTTGAGTACATACAAAAGTCATACAAAAAAAAAGAAAATGTGCCGGCAAATATAAAATAACTAAACTTGACCAAGCCCAAGTAGGCAAAGCACACTCGGCTGTTGTGTGCTTCATGGGCTTCGGTCTTGGGCCAATACATCCTACTACTTTGTATTGGGCCTGTGCGAACGGCAGCAGTCAAGACACAAGACTAAGCAGCGTGTGCGAGTATGCTAGTTTAGTCCCACCTCATGCCCCAGCCAGCGGACGCAAATTCGGTAACTTTCCTTCAGCAAGTCACAACGTAACTTTCCCTGCCACATCTACCGTCCAAGCAAGATCGTGGGGTTGGAGACGTTTTCATCCAGGGATTGGCTTCTCTCCCGTAGAGACAGAGACAGCGCTGTGGGCATCAACGTCCTGAGCGCCGTGCCGCCCTGACGAGACTCAGGAGAGGGAGGAGCACGCCCACGACGATGCGGTGGTCAGGCTGGCCTGAGAGCCCGGCGGGACATCCCACAGGCACATCGCCCATGTTGTCCAGGAACGCGAGTGCGTGCCAGGCGAGCGCGCGTTGGCAGAGGGAGCCGAGCACCAAGCTGCAGTGGCGCGTGCGGCGCGACGCAGAGGAGCACGGAGCGACGCGGTGTAGCTTTGGAGACGAGGAGGAGCAGAGTAGCCCTGGTCGCAGGTCGGTGTAGGCCAAGCCGCCCAGGTCGGCTGCGGCGCTGTGTCGGTCGCCCGCGAGACGAAGGGGAGCAGCGTAGTGGAGGTGGCCTCGACGCGGCCGGAGGCGACGCCGCCAGCCCCTCCTGCTCCAAGTCTCCAATGGGGGTCGTCGAGGCGTGGGGCAACACCACTGTCCAGGCTACTGCGGGAGAAGGAGACGCGCTGGCCCAGTCCGTCGGCCAGCTGCGTCCGCATGCTCGCGCTCCAGTTCGCATTCGGCATCGGCAAATGCCTCTGCTCCTCGCACGTTCCAGTGGGCACACCGCACGTTCCGTGCATTCGCATTCTAGAATCCAGCATGCAGGGTCCAGGTCGCCCCTGCCCCTGCCTGCCGCAGAGGAATTCGCCACAGAGTGCGCTGAGGTAGACGCGTGAACTCCGAGTCTCCGAGAGTCCCGTGGCTGAGGAGTGGCGGCGGATGTGCGCCAGCGGGCCGTGCACAGCCAGGCAGTCGTCCGTGGCCACGGCCTGCGCGCCGGAGCCCGGAGTAGATGTAGAGCTGAGGCGCCTCCGCCGCCACCACTACTGCGTGGGACTTCGTCCGTGGAGGCGGCCAGGCCCGTCGCGCTCGTGGTCTGGGATCATCATTTCGTCAAACATCCGGCGGGCGTCGGCTTCGTCTATTGTCTCGGCCGGCAGCATTAGCTTGGTGGCACTGTGCCAGTGCGACTCCAGCTCTGGGTCGCCATCGTCGTCTCAGGTAGCAGCATGCCTGTTCTTGCGCCCCCCGGCATCATGGAGGAGAAGCGGCGTCATGGAGGAGAAGAGCAGGTCCATGGCCCGTTCTCGCATCCTCTGCCTGGAATGCTCCCGCATGGTGAAAACTCAGAGCTCGCGCCGGCGGCGCCGCCATCCGCACCGGCCGCCCCACCCTCCGCGGTGGCCGTGCACGCTCGCCACGCTCCAGGCCCGCGCCGTTTCTCGCAGCTTTGATCTCCGTGCTGGTCGCGAGCTTGCCTCGCCGCCCTCTGCGCCCATCGCATGCTCGCCGTGTCGCTCTCTGCGCCGACCACGCGCACTCACTCCACACTGGCCGCGCGCTCACCACGTCGGCCGCGTGCCCGTTGCTCCGGCCACGCACGCTGGCCACGAGCTCCCTGAGTCTTTGCGGGAGAGAAGCCGAAACCAGACTAAAAGTGGCTGCAGCCGTTCGATCTTGGATGAACGGTGGATTTGGCAGGGAAAGTTACAACGTGACTTGCTGAGAAGGAGATGACTTGTGGGGTGCTTGTGTCAGTGACACAAACATAAGAGGGAAGAGGGGTATTTTGGACATACAAGAATAAGGTGTTTTTCATGTGGCCCAATAACATCCAAAGCTTATAGCAATGGCATATGTTGGGCAGAGAAAAACTAAAATGACATACTTTGGAAAAGGTAAATAGTAACGGCACTTGTTCCGTGCAAATGGCACCAATCCAAATGGATGTGTCATGTAGCAAAGCTACGGCCATGAATCAAAGTTGCCAAGTTTGAAAAGAAATTTGCCAAATTGTTTATCTTTAGCAATGTTTTAAATAGCGGGCTAAACTGTTTAGCGTATATCTCTAAAACAACTAATAGCGGAGCTATATCGGACTATAGCGAGGATATAACAACTAAATTGTACATAAACCCAAATAGTGACACACTGCCTCAAAAGGCTATAGCGGGCTATAGCGGAAGATTTAAAACTATCATCTTTAGTGACAGGTTGGGTACTGCTCACCTGCAATTCCTCCCGAGGATCTCTTCCCGCGTGTACTCCGTCAGCTCCAAGAAGCTATCCGACGCGAAGATCTGCACAAGCACAACCCAAGCATTCTACGCTGAGTAACTGCGAGAAGCTGTCCAGCTATGGCGGGATGCCGTGCTTACAATGGGGTTGTCGGGGAGCCTGGGATCCGTGATGACGAAGTTCTTCTCGATGCGCTCTAGCGTGGTGGCTAGATCGATCCCCTGCCTGATGTCCCTCTCCCTTCCCTCTTGCTCCCAGCTGTTCTTGCGCTCCTTCTCCGTCGTTGACTCCGGTGTCGCCGGCGCCGGCGCCATAGCCTCCACCTCCGCTGGAAGGGCCTCCTTGCTTCCTACCGAGCTCCTCTTCCCCATCTTGAACCTGCCGAGAAACCATCCTTATATGTCATGTCAGTCACATGGAGCCCTGAGTCTGAGCTTGTTTGAAGTGTCCGAGTTTCTGACTGACCCCATGAGGGAGGAGCGGCGGCGGCTCAACTTCCGGCTCAGCCGCGAGTCCTCCTTCTTCACGTCCCAGAGCGGCGTGCCAGGGACCACCAACGGCGGCGCTGTGACGAGCGGTGCAGGCTCCACGGGCTCCTGTTCGCCCTCGGAGCGAGCGCGCGGGTGCTTCACCGTCTGCACCACCTCCGTGATCGATGACATGGCCGTCTCCTTCTGCCGGTCTACGGTGTCAAATCAAAGAATAGAGACGTGATCAGCGCCGCCAACAAGCTTAATTTGCCGGATTGGCAGGACAAGGACAGGGCATAAGGGAGCCGAGAACGCAGGGGGGGTCGTGGACTCACCGTCGTAGTGGATGAGGGAGACTGGCATCTCGTTTGGCCGCATGCGCTTTTCGCTGAGCCCCTCCGTGTACTTGCTCACCTCGACTTGCATCCTGTCAGTCACGGCAATTCCATCAATCACAAGGCAGAGCAGAGCACTTGAGGTCAGGGCATCAGGCATGGGCACGAGCTGAGCAGAGCAGAGTGTCAATCCACCAAGAGGATGGGTACCCGATGAACTTGATGACCTTGCCGTGGTCGTCGCGGATGGGGGTGACGGTGAGCATGTTCCAGAAGGGCGTGCCGTCCTTGCGGTAGTTGAGCAAGCGGCCGCAGAAGCTGCGGCCGGTCTTGACGGCGTCCCGGATCTTGGCGACCTCGTCCATGTCCGTGTCGGGGCCCTGCAGGAAGCGGCAGTTGCGGCCGACGACGTCCTTGGGGGCGTAGCCGGTCATGGTGTAGAAGCCGGCGCTGGCGTAGATGATGGGGCAGTCCGGGCGGGTGGCGTCGGAGACCACGAACGTCTGCTGCAGGCTGGACAGGGCGTCCTTGAGCTCCTGCGACACCCGCGGCAGCGAGTCCCCCGACCCACGCGACGACTTGGCGCTGCCCACGCCGCTGTCGCGGCCGCGCTGGAACGAGGCCTGCCTGTTGCCGGCACTGACCGTGGAGGACGACGCCTCCTCCACGATCTCCTTGCCCCCGCCCGACACTGACCGTGGCTGCGGGAACGTGAAGCCGCTGCCGGCGTCGTCGGAGCCAGACGGGAACGCCATCCACTTCTCCACCTTCTCGGCCGCTTGCCTTGATGACCCCGTCATGGACGTCGGACGCCGGTGATGCTCCCCTTCCCTCGAAGACTACGAGACTGCCGCGATCAACGGCGGTGCAGGTGCGGGAGAACAACCATATGCCCCGAATCACCCGTTGCAGGCAAGAGCACAGGAAAAAGCAGGGCAGGCAACCAAGAAAGCAGAGACGGAAAGAATGGCGGGAGAAGCAGGGCAGGCGCAGCGAGCGGATAATGCAATCCGGCCCGTGTGAGCGACTCACGGTCGTCCCGCCCCTCCAGCTCCACCTGTTTCCGCGGCCGCGCAAGGGCCACCGGTCCCCCTCTCCCGCGGCCAGCTCGGCACCACGCCGGGCCCGATCGATCGGGGTCGCCAGCAGGGCCGCCGCATCCTGCGGTCGAGGAGGAGCCGACCGTTGCTGTTCGACGGGTGGAGCGCGGGCTGGGCGCTCCACGACGACGGCGACGCGACGCGACAAATCTTTTGAGGCGGGCGTGTGGCTACGGGAGCGCGCGCGAGTTGGCCTGGTTGGATGGGTGGGTGGGTGGGTGCTGTGTCGTGGCGGGGCGGGGCGCCGCTCGTACGGCGTCGCGGTCGCGAGGGAGGTTGCGACGCCCACGACGGCGATGGTAACAGCGGGAATCGAGGCGGGTGCGGAACACGGGAACAGGAACCATCCACTACCGCAAAGTGGGGCAGCAGTCCTCTACCTCCTGGTCCTGCTGCCTCGTCAACACAGGTTGTGCAAGTGGATTTTCCCGTTGATTGCTTGCTCCTTTATTATATGATCCATATATAGGAGTGTTATTATGCTCTATGGTTTATGCACGTACGTGTCTCCCTCACACGTACACGACACAACTTCCAGAGATGAAAGCTATCTTCGGCTGCTCGTAAAGCCGTTTGTACTGATTTGTTGGCTAATTTGTTAGGAGAGAAAAATGCTATACTATGGCTTAAGTCAGCTTATAATGACAGCCGAACACTCCCGTTGGCTCTGTTCGTTTGAGCTTATAAGCCAGAATCAGCCTTATATTTTCAGTCATGAAACAATGTTTTTCTCTCACAATAAATTAGCCATACAAATCAGCTGCAGCAGCAATAAGTCCTGCCGAACAGAGCCGTCTTTGGTTGCCATATAAAGGTTGCATCCTATATCCTATATATCTATAAATGAGTGATGCAGCCTAAGTGAAATAGTATTAAAAAAGAGTGTTTAGTGAATTATCATACTGTTCGCTTGTTGGTTTCAGCCAGGCTTATTCAACCAGCCAACAGTGTTTTTCTCTCACAACAAACCAGCACCAGCCAGCCCAAACCATCCCAGAAACCAATCAGCGAACACACCGTATATAAGCAGATGTAAACAAATTGAGACGTTGTTCCGTTGGATGCATGAGCAGATATAATCTATGTAACATATGAGGCTGGCGTGTGGACCCTGCTCCCCATCTCCGCATCCACCGGAACTAGCTTGCGAATAAATCTCAATTGGACATATCCCGCCAGTCTATATCTAACTATACAATTGCATCCACTCATGCAGTCATTCGGTCAACAAAACACGCAACTCGCTTAGTTTTATAGACTCCATTCTCCATTCATATAGGATGGGTGGAACAGACTAACCAAACACATCTAAGTCTCCTCTAAGATAAAAGAATACTGTACATGTCATTTCAACAATGTCGCGTCTTCAAGTTATACCTTATATTTTATTTCGTCACTTCTCCTATGTTTCATATACTTGATTTTTTCGAACAACATATAATTTTATCATTGTTTGATTGCCAAACAAATTACGAATTATCTATTGTAAATTATTTTTAATTATAGTATTTAGTTGTTTAAGATTATTACACGAAAATTCAAGTACCTAAAATATAGCATAAAAGCTCTCTTATTTGGTAGTAATAAGGCCAATTCCGCTATGTAGATCTCTATCAAACACTTAAAATACAACTGAATTCTGGTGGGAAGCTGATGAGAATCACTATTCTATTTACATTACGAGGTGCGAGCTGAAAAACACGCTCTCCACCCACTTCTAGATTTCGACCCTATTGCCACATGACGTCCTTTGCAACGCCACAAATTGTGTTGTAATAGGGTGTGTTTTGTAATATTTATCCAAAAAAGTGGCCACATGGGGACTGTGTTGCCACAAAAATAGTGCATTGCAATATTTATGTTCACCATTGCAAGAGGTGAGCCCTATAGCAACTCTTTTTTGAAAAGTGTTGCTATAGGTTTAAAATATTGCCATGATGATATTGCGTTGCATTAGTATTGATTGGTGTTACAACTGTCTGGTGCTCTTGCAACCATATAGAATAGTGTTGCTATTGCTTGAAATTATTGCCACAATTTTGCTTGGTTGTAATATTTCACACGACCACTGCAATAGGTAGACCGTGTATTGCAACAAAAATTTTAAGGCGATGCAATAGTTTGTTGTTGTTGTCATAGTTTTGTTTGGTTGTAATATTTATCACGACCATTGCAATAGCTAGATGTTTATTGAAACTAAATATCTAAAGCGATGCAATACTATTATCGGTGCGAAAAGTGACCAACAAGTAAATATTTGTAGTTTTCTCATGCGTTGTGATCGGATGTGGCCTAGCACTCAATTACACAAAATTTATACTCGTTCAGGCAACATGCCCTACATCTAGTTTCAGTTGGTCGGTGACTTTATTCCTGAGCCCAGGTGCTCGAAGTTTGCTGTGGGTTTACAAACGAGTAGAAATGAGAAAGGGATGTTAAAGACTCGATTGGACTTTTAACCAAATGGAAGAGAGTGAAGGGTGCTCTAACGTGCGCTAAGTATTGGAGCATATGTTCTGTATAGTTGTCGAGTTCTAGAGCTATTGAGTTGTTCGAGTCCTCAGGTCGTCGAGTCCACGAATCGTTTAGCCTCTTCTGTTGGGAGAGAGCGTATTCCCTTTTATAGTTGAAAGGGACGGCCTTACAAGTCAAAGAAAGAGAGAGAGAGAGTGTGTGTATACGTGTGCTACCTAGTCTTATTGCCCACAGTGTCGGGTATGAGATGGTCGTCGGCGCCCACAATAATGTTTATGTTATGACACATCTGGCAGGCTCTACCATGTTCGCCTGGTAAGGCAAACGTCGGTGCCTACAATACTATTTGTGCTCTAACACATCTGTAAGGTTGTATAGTTCCCGTCTGGCATGACCTGGTGGCACTGTCCTGCAGGTGCGTAGGGCATGGTAGGGTACGATCCTCGGTATTGCGGTTGAATTGAGCGCCTTACCTTATCTGCTCTGCCTGGTTCTTGGGCCCTCATCGAGCGGGCGTCCCCGGTCAGTCGTTCCCAGTCGGTCTCAACCGTGTCGGTTGGGAAAGAGCAGCGAGCAGAGGTCTAGCGTATCCTCGGTCGGAGTCCGACTATGGTCCCACCTTGGCCAGGCCTTCCGGTCGAGGACCGGATCGTTGTCTCGGCCTGTCATTATGTATCTAGGCCAGCCCAGGCGCGTGTTGTCGCTGCCCCGCCTGCTGGGCTAGATTTTGTAGGGAAGCGGGTCCATTGGGGACTCTGGGTTTATAAACCCGACAGGAGCCCCCGAGCCCCTCTGGGACTTCTGTGAAGCCATGAAGGGCTGTTCACACACGGAGCCCGAACCCGAGGGGTCAGGCGAGACGGAGCCTGTGGCCTTAGGGTCGGTTGAGACGGAGCATGAACCCAAGGGTCAGGTGAGATGGAGCCCGCGGCCGAGGTGTCGAGCGAGACGGAGTGCGAACCCAAGGGTCGGGTGAGACGGAGCCCGTGGCCTTGGGGTCGGCTGAGATGGAGGTGGGCGTAGCCCCCGAGCCTGCAGCCGACTGGAGAGTCGGTCAAAGGCTGAGAACCTTGGTACTCTTTTCTAGGGCTGCAGACTCTTGTGTTCCTTCCGGTCGGGGTGTTCGCCCGTGTCCGTTCCGATCGCAACCTTTGTGGTTAGTCAGGTTCTTAAGTAGGGACCTGACACCTCAACCCGATTGGGTACTGCACATCGCCGGCTTCATCACTATCTGCGAGGCCTTCCTCGGGATGGAGCCGCACGTGGACCTCTTCCGGCGGATTTTCAACAGGCGAGCCCTGTCCAAGGGGAAGCCGCCCAGAATCACACCGGGTGGGGGGTTTGCCCTGCAGAAGAGGCCGAAGACATCAGTCCCCTACCACGTGTACTCCCCTGTGACTCTAATCGGGGGTGGCATGGTGAGTGGTTCTACATTAAGAACTCGACGAAGGTGCCATTCTCGACATTCACCGGGGAGAGGCCGAAGAGGAGGGAAAGCTGGTCATGGGGTCTCGCCCGTCGGCAGAACAAGCTGGAGATTGTCGAGACAGAGCTTCGGAGGCTCGTGCGGCACGGCCTCGATGGGTTGCATATCTTCCTTACCTTCTTCCGCCATTGGGTTGCCCCGTTGGTAGAGAGAACGCGGCCGATGTGGGAATACTCTGGCCCGGTGGATCCCGACCGCACGTCACCGGACGAGTTGCCAAAGGATGAAGTCTGGAGTCATCTCGGTTGGGTGCTGTAGTTGAGGGATGAAGACTCCCTCAAAGGGACGCCCGGTCCCCTTCATGCCGCGAAGCTATCCAATTTGGTATGCTTTTTTCCCGTGACCTTTTCCTTCTTGTTTTGATGCTTTGATTGATTTCAAGTTGCCTATTTCGAAGGGACTCGCAGGCTATAAATCCTAACCGCATCTTCCAAGAGGGCCGAAAGGCATGGTTCGGCAAGATGCCTAGAGGGAGGCCATGCTTGCCAAGAAGAAGAACAAAACCGAGAAGGCCTGGAGGAGGTTTGATAAGGAGATCAACCGGCGGGTCCTTGGTGGCGAGAGCCAAAGCGACGTAGAGGCGGAGCTCGAGTCGGAGGAACCCATGGAGATGGGTGATGACACGAGTTCCTCAGAGGACGAGGAAGATATGGGTGTTGCTATGACCTTGGTGGACTACCGTTAGCCCACGGCTGTGCCTGTCGGTGGCGGGCATGGTACGGAGGTACACGGTGACGTT